CCATACTGATAATCGGTTTGAACTGCAGGAGATGTCTACATGCCTAAATGCACTGAGTTGCCGCCATGTGATTGGCTGATTAGAAATTAAGTGTTAACGAGCAGTTGGACAGGTGTACCTAATAAAGTGGCCGGTGAGTGTATATCCCTGACCTAGACTTTTGGATGGTCTGGACCACAATGTATTGCAAAAATACTGTCTTTAAGCATGTGTATTAGGCCTAACTATAAATAAACAATAGAAAGTGTAAAAGTTAAAATTTTAAGTGTATAATTTAGTAAATGTTTTACTTGTTTTGTATATAAAAACACTGCATACTATTTCGTTGTGACGTCATTAAGCTGCGACGCTGGGCTTGTGAAGACGTAATATTTCAGAGACCGTTTGTTTACATCATGGCGTCGGTAGATTTCAGAGGTAAGACAATCTTCATTTTATTGTTTGTCAGGAAGTTATTTACAGCTTAGTGGCGTTGATGTTTATAAGTGAAAAAACGAACGTTATGTTAGCGGGTTTTCCCTTCGACTTGGTACAAACATACTTCTACGTTTAGCAACATTGCATTAGCAATTCAGCTAACGCAAAGAGAAAAGAATGACCGTGTCTCTGAAAAATAATAACCTTGTTATTTGTTTGCTGCTTAACGCATTATCGTCACACATTTATGTGACTTCGGTTAAAGATGTTGAAGTTGTAAATTAGTTTTAACCAACATCAGTTGTTGCAGTAACTTGATGTCCTCGTGATGCTCACTTCTGGTGGTATACTGACATTTTCATGTAATTTCTCATTTTACAAAATATGTATGTGTATTAAAAACATACGTAAATAAATTATATTAGATCTGTTCCTGTTAGTGTTACTCTGCTGCAACTTTTGTTCCAACCACTGAATAGTATTTTTTTTTTCACATGACAGAGCCCTCCCTAAAAAGAAAAACAAATAGTTAGTTAGTTAGTTAGTTAGTTAGTTAGTTAGTTAGTTAGTTAGTTAGTTAGTTAGTTAGATTAATGGGAATCTGCACTGATCATAAAAAGCAAAAGTACTAAGTGTCCTAATATGACATCTACCTGTTTATTTGTGAGAGATAGTCTGGGCATAATTTTGATCCTTTGCTCCAACAAAAGCTGCTTGAGTTTCCTGATGAAACACAAATCCTTATTTTATTTTATTTTATTATTTTATTGACAACACAACAAGTTAGGTCATGTTCATTTACATTTTAAAATTAACAAGCTGATTAATCAGCACATACTTTTTACCACAAACAAATGTGCAAATATTAATGAATACATTTTTGTAGAAACAAACTTATTTTAGACGAATAAAGGTTTATTACTAGTTATTTAAATGAACTGATTACAAGTATTACATTTTAGTGAAAAAGCTACACTTTGAATTCTCATCAAAGAACACTTGTTGAAAGTAGACAGACAATTTTTGTGATGGAAGACAATGTTTCATATTGTTAAAGGACATTCAGGGCATTGATTATCCCAAATTAAAACATTAAAACACTGTCTATACATGATCTTAGTGTCATTTGGAAATTATTTTAAATCTCTTTAATCAAAATCTTTTGTTTAATAAACTAGAATAAAAAAAAWGTTTTGTTAGCAATACCTAACTAAATTCACATCTTATATTGTAGCAGCAGATAATAGTTAGTATGCAACATTCAAATATAGTATGATCAGTATATTATACTAACAAAAAGTATCAGTACAGAATAGAAAAATGAGTTAATTTCAGACTTGTATTTAACTGAGATACTTTGCTCTGGCTTACCAAGCCAAAGAAAGCTCAAAAGAATAGACCACCTGAATTTATTGAAATTTCTTAACAAATTGATCTAGACATATTAAGGATTTAACTATTCTAATGGGATTACTGTTGGTTTATCATGTTGGGGTACTGCCTGAAACAAAAACAAATCTGGATATATAAACACAAAATGTGATGTTGATGTGTAAAAGTTGTAAATGTCCTTGAAAGAGAACGTCCTGTGTACCGCTAATCAGTTTTATGGTCATAAAAATGGTGGCTTCTTGTTGACTTACAGACAATCTTCTTGGGATCTCCTGGGTGGACAGTGGTTGGGTGCCAATTTTAAATCCTGGAAATGTTCTGGATTACTTCTCTGAGAGAAGCAACCCGTTTTACGATCGAACCTGCAATAATGAGGTAGTGAAGATGCAGCGGCTAACTCTGGAACATCTCAAGTAAGTTCATTATACAAAGGATGAAACTGTATTAGCAGTTGTATCCAATACTACGCAGATTGCACTGGTAGAACCACAGTGTTTTTTTCCTTTTATCAATACACTCACATACAGTCTGTGGAAAGATTATTAAACATACAGACTTCATATGAATGCAAATTAGTTTTGTAGAAGTACAATAATAATAATTGTAAGTAAAAATTACATTGTTCCACATACGATGAGACATTCAAGGATTAATATTTTCATCATTTGAAACTTTAGGCAACTTATGCCAACTTATGAAATTTGTTTTTGTCTAAATTACTAAAAAAGTTTTTAATCAGTTTGTTAGCATTAAARTAGGTACACGCCTAAAAGAGGCTTCCAGTTGGGTTTTTTTTTCAAAGTTTTTTTTTTATTATTTTTAACAGAAATACAAACAAAAAACAAACTAACAAAAAAAAAACCACATCCTTAAAAACCCTCCCATC